TATTTTCACAATAAAAATTAAAAAAAAGAATACATTGCATTATGCTGTCTCTCTGCTGACAGCATTCATGGTCCCTGCTTCTTTCTTCACCCTTAAGTTGCATCTTTGGTCCCTCCAAGCCCCAGTGGCTGCTTCCTACTATGGGAGCCACAGGTCCTTTGCATATTTCATATGCTCAGAATTCTTTCCTTTGCACACTCTTCTCACTTCTCTCAATTTCTCCTTCTTCTTTAGTCTAATTTTCAATGTCAGATCCTACAACATCTGATTTTGGACTCCCCCAATAGTCTCTTGCATGGCAACCTTTTTTGTTTTGGCAAAGCAAGAATTAAAATATCTAATTATAAATGCATTTGCGTGGTTACTTATATTTTTCTAATATTGTTTTGCTGACTATATGCCAAGCAACTAGACATGTAATAATCAATATTTGTCAAATGGCAAGGAGCAAGCTAAGGTAGCAGAGGGGTTATTAGAAACCAAATTACTTTTTGTTTTAGACTGTGTTCTAATCAACATGTCCTTTTGACTGTAATTTGTCTTCTGACTTGACAACTAGACAAGAATGTATTGATCAGGAGGATTTATTAAATGAAAGATGCTTCTTAATTTAAAGATTGAGGTGACAACCCAAGTTCAAGTGCATTTTAATTCGTGTGCATTTTCTCTGAGATCCTGAAAAGGCGAGGTAGGCCCAGAACTGATGACAGGTCCTGGGCTGCATTAACTCACTGATACATCACTCAAGAGGCTTCATTAGAGACAACCCTAAAGAATTAACTAGTTCTTTGATACTGCTACTGAGTTATCTTTTTTTTTTGGAATGTGTATGCTGAGTAATTTAAAAAGTATTGCCAAATTTTGAACAGTTATTGAAGATAGAAGTTACCAAATATAGTTGCAATCATCTATGTGTGCCACCTAGGAGATTAACCAGGCTAGGGTAATCTTAATCTAGGATTTCTAAACTTTTCCATCAGTTCTTCCATGTAACCAGTTGACTGCCTTGGGCAATTTCTATTGGCAGTATACTAATTGGCTTATGTTGAACTGGACAGAAGAACTACAGAATTGAAAGAAATCTTAGCAGTATGTTTGTCATCTTTCCACATGCTGTAAACCATGCAGCTCTACATACATTGTTTCATTTGGTCTCAGCCTAAGAAGGGTTTCATAGCAAAGGACTCAGCTGAAATATAGATACAAGTCTGCAGGAAATCTAGTTGCTAAACACATCAGCACTCCATGAAACTGTGTGCTCTTGACTTGATCATGGTCCATATGTTGGGTGTGGTGTCAGATGATTTACTTAGTAGGGAAAAGATCTCTATCTTCAGACTGGGAAGGTGGCTCAGTGGTAGAGCTCTTGCCTTACATGCATGAGGCCCTGGGTTTGATTCCTCAGTACCACATAAGCAGAAAAAGCCAGAAGTGGCGCTGTAGCTCAAGTGGTAGAGCACTAGCCTTGAGCCAAAAAGCTGAGGGACAGCTCCCAAGGCCCAGAGTTCAGGCCCACAACTGACAAAAAAAGAAAAAAAAAGATCTCTATCCTCAAAGTCTGATTTATTTCATGAGAGTAATGCAAACATGTCAGTGAAATAAAGCTTGGATTTTTTTTGAGAATTTTGCAGCTCTCTATAGAAGTTATTTTGTAGATACTAAAAAGTACACATGAAAATGGTATACAATCCCTTCTTCCCAGCAGGTTGCAATTTCATGGGAAACAAGTAAAAATTGAGATATGTACAATGTAGTATGATCAATGCTATAACAAGAAGGTAGATTCTGGAAAAATCAAAGAATGTGATGAGTTGATTCTTGGTAGCCAGTTTGGCAGGAGGAGAGAAAGGAAAGGGCTGTTTTATGTATTTGTATAGATCTAGGAGGCTTCTAGTAGTCCAGTATTATGGCAGCTTGTTTGCTTAAGACTGATCATACACTTGAGCCATGCCCCAGACTGACTTCATGCTGGTAATTTTGGAGATGAAGCTTCACAGACTTTTCTGCCCAGGGTTTGCTTCTAACCATGATCCTCTAGGTCTGGACCTGGGCTTAACATTTAGGCAAGAGTCAGTACCTGGCTGGTTGTTTCTCCTAACGATCTCAAGAAAGAAAGTCTAATCAGTCACTGGCCAAACTGCCTGAATCAGGTGTCTGTTCCTCGTTGGGCTGATAGGGTGCCCCAGGAATGTGTATATGGATTGTAAGAGACTTCAGTGAAGATACTCAAGGTTGGGATTTCTTTCTTTCTTTTTTTGTCGGTCATGGGGCTCGAACTCTGACAAGGTTGGGATTTCTTAATAAGCAGGTCCTACCAGGAGCAATGGATCAGAAGTTTCCCTAAGAAGACTGTATAAAACAAAGGCAACAAAGTCCATCTAGTCCAACACTTATGAGTCAAAGAGAAAAGTCTGGATTTTTTTTTTAGTGAACATTTACAGAATGTGAGAGAAAATTCCATCTGTTAGAACCACCAAGTTATCATTTTAACATTTAAGGCTACTCCTACTTACAACTCCAAAGAGTAACAACCATAAGGCTGAAATAATTAATTTTTATATTGCTTCTGATTTTTGAATTACTTAAAAACAAGTATGTATAGCAATCACTTCAAAAGTAACCTGCGTATCTTACCCTAAACACTGGCAGAGAGGACATGGCTGTACCAAGAAGAGCCATTAGATGAAAGGGAACTGAATCCCCGGTGACTTTATGAAACAGAGTGCCCCCACTTGTACAGAAATGAGAAATTTCTATTGGGCAACTACAATTTGAAGTTAATTTGTTGAAGGAACTACAAAAGTTGCTTACTTGGATAATGATATGTGCTATTTCTAGGGCTTAGTGTATTCTTCCCAACTCTTGGTTAGACAGAATCTACTCATTTGTGTGGGTCCCTGAGAGACAGTGTAGAAAGAGTTCCTGTTCCTGTTGGCTTGTTGACAGCACAGAACTGTTATGTGAACAAGAACTGACTTTCTATTATGGTTATTTAATAACACATTTGGGGTTTACTATCACAGCTGTTAGCGAACCCTAAATAGCAACCGACCATTCTGGACAAATATTTATCATCCTTTGTATTTATCAGATGCTGTTTTTTATTTCTGCCGTAGGTTAATAAAGAATAAAGAAGAATGTTCATAAAGAGTTGCAAAAGAATTTCAAGTAGTTTTTCAAAAATAATTATATATAAACATTTTCCATTTACTAAAGTGAGCTTTACAGTGAGGCTCTCAAATCTGTGTTTATACAAATGTTTGAAAAAGCTTGTCATTTTCCTATGTTGTCTATATATTCAAAATTATTTCAGATAGTAGAAATTGTTAATAGTCCTCTGAAATGTTTCACAGGTTTGACTGAAATTTTTGACTGAATTTCTCTCATTTAAAATTTCATCAAAAATCTTTTCTTGGGTACAAATAGGTTTGTTTTTCAAGTTGAAGATGGCTCTTCTGACATAAATCTATTGGTTAATTATGCAATCTTATAAAAAAGTAACTGAAACATTCACAAAATAGCTAAATAGGATCAGAAAGAAAATTTAGTAAAATCTAGATAGTGAATTCTGGATAAAAGAGAGTATAAAAGATTTAAAAAACAGTAAGTCTGCTTTTTAGAGAAGGAGGCTATTCTTACCACTCTCCATGTGTTCTGTAAATTTTCTTCTTAATTTTTCTTCCTTTAGATACAAGTGTGTCATCATATTTAGTGTTATAAGTACTGACACCATTTGTGGTTGGGAATAACTACAAATGCTATAGGCTACCTGAGAATGTATTTTTTCCATTTTTGGAGTTCAGAAATTATGTAGGAAACACTTCAGGGAAGCCAGAAAGCATCTGTTTCTGTTTTCAGGTTAGGGTATTTACAATTTTTAAAGCGTTTTTATTGTCAAGGTGATATATAGAGGGGTTACAGTTACATAAGTAAGGTAATAAGTAAATTTCTTGTCAAACTTGTTACCCCTTCCCTCATTTTTCTCCTATGTTCCCTCCCCTTCAATCCCCCCCACCCAAGTTGTACACACCATTTCCAATATATTGTCTTGTGTATATCACTGTTTCATTGGTTCCCCCCTTGTTCTTTGTCTCACCATTCTGTTGTTCCCCTTCCCTTCTCTAATTCAAATAAACGTATATACAATAACAGGGTACATACCATGGTGGAGGGAAACATACAAAAGAAACAAAAAAAATCACATAGTACATTTAAAACAACAACAACAAAAAACCTCTTGTGTCCATGTCTTGGAGTTCATTTTGCTTAGCCTTTATCCAAATGATCACGAACAAGGCCATACTAAAGCTACCAGCACAACTATGTTCATCACAGCATTATTCACTATAGCTAAGATGGAACCAACCCAGGTGCCCCTCAGTAGATGAATGGATCAAGAAAATGTGGCGTACATATATATATATATATATATATATATATATATAATGCAATACATATAATGGAATTCTATGCTTCCATCAGAAAGAATGACACTGCCCCAGGTGTAAGGAAATGGAAAGTCTTGGAAAAATCATATTAAGTGAAGTAAGCCAGACCTAAAGAAACATTGATCCCGTGGTTTCCCTTACTTACAATAATTAGTATTCATCTAGGATAATCTTAGCAGATGAGCAGAATAGCTCAATAACTAAAGTTGTGCTTTTTGTTTCAGACAGTGGTGTAGAAACTTGAATCCTGAGTGCTGACTTTATTTCTGGGATCCCAGATATTAATGGTCATAGAAAACAAGTACATATAAATAGTGGTACATATTGATAATTGTTTAAAATATATAGTTGTAGATCTTCAGTGCTTTCTTTTTTTTAGTGTTTTCTTTATAGGTGGGAAACACAAGCAAAGCAAAAACATACAGTAAACACATAATAAAGCAAATTTTCTATTCAATAAGTAAATCAATCAATTATTCCTGTTAGGTGAACAATATGTTTTATTTTTAAGTGTAACAAAATTGAGAATTACATATTAGGGTATTTCTCTGGAAGTATTTATTTTATATCAGGTGCATGTGGATCACCTACATTGTCTCTCAATTTTTTATTGTCCTTAAGTAGCTCCTAAAGGATTCAACTATTCTTTAAACATCGCCTAGGCATTTAATTAGGACTATTTTTATTCCTTTTCTGGTATTTTTCTCTTTGAAAAACTTAAAAGTTTTGCTTTTTTATAATCCATGCCTTTTCCTACATTGCATTGCTCTACATGCAGGGCTGGCGGCTACTTGTTGGCGATGTATATGATTTTGTGCTTCTCCGGCGGCTACTTGTTGGCGATGTATATGATTTTGTGCTTCTCCAGGACACTGATGTCATGTTCCAGCTGTCTCATCTCTTCCTCCAGCTTCTGCTTCCGAGTCTTTTTTGGTATGGAATCAATGAACACTGACAGGGACTGGAACTCTTTATGTACCTCTTCCCAATTCTTTTTCAGCCCCTGCAAATGGTCAAGGAAATAAAAAAAATAATGTAAATTACACAAAGCAAATAAATGATAAAACCCCAACTAAATGGTAGAGAAATGATGCTGGAACCAATTACGTAAGTAGGTACAGACTACTGTAGAAAATAGCTTTTAAGGTGATATATATGTTTATCAAAGACTTGGCCACAGTAACAGAAAAGACTGTGCAGAGGCTAAATCCTGTCCTCAGTTGTCTGCCTGGTCCCACAGGGAGTTTATTTGCTCTGTTCTTAAGGTCACTGTACTTGTTTTTATTATCTAATACACATATGCAGAGTTAGGAATGTTCTAGAGCTGAGCTTATAGTAAATGCTTTGGTAGAATCCAACAACTTCAGAATTGATACTTCCAAATAAAAAGAAATATTGATCAGAAAACTATTTTTATTTTCTATAAAAGTTTTACTGTTTTCTTTAGAATTTTCTTCTTTATTCTCATTCTCCAACAAAGAAATCACACTACAAAGTTTCATTCTGGCTTACATTGAGAGATTTTTTTTTCCTATCTTTGATACAATGGGATTGTAAAGTTCCCAAATTCATATTTACAACAGAAAATCTTATATCTATCTATCTATCTGTCAATTGTGGGGCTTGAACTCTGGGCTTGGGATACAACAGAAAATCTTTTATATATCCTTTTGCTATATTAGAAAGAACGAATTGTCCTCCATACTGTCAAGGGATCTACATTTCCCATTAATGCATACTAGAAACGACTGCAGTGCCATAACATGTAATGCATGTTAATTCAATAATGTAGTTAATGGTTTATAGTCTCAGCAATCAACAAACTCAAAATTAAGGATCTCTCAGGAGCTATAAAGGTTAATTCCATCTAGTCAGATATTTTTAATCACAGTGTTTCACTGACAGAATAGTCGTAAAGTGCTAATTGAATTCATACAATGACATTTTATGAATGAACACTTTTTGGTATTCACTGTGAGTCCACGAGTCATTTTATTTACACGAAATCAAGAGGAAGTACAATTTAAAATAACGCTGGAGAAACATGGCCCTTGAACACCATGGTCACCATGGTCACAACTTCAGGTATAAAGGAGGATTATAAGTATTTTATGCAATAATGCCTCAACAATATGACCTCCTAGTACACAATCAGGACTGTAGAAACTTCTTGGGGACAAAAAATTCTAATGATTTCCTTCCATGAAAAAGTGATTATAGGACAAGATGCACTGTATAGAATTGACCTCTTGTTAAGTACAATTGAATCAAAGATCTGGATAGGGGAAAAGATAGAAGGATAAAACCTCCAGGTTGAATTTTTTAAAAGATGGAGCCAGGAGATCACTATAGCTTTTCATAGCATATGAGATGTATTCCATGAATGAGCCCTCAAAAGAATTCTATTTCTCTATAGTCTTTCATTATGAAATGTGAAGTATGTTTCCACAGAGCTCCACCGCGGTGGCTACTGCAGAGAGGAAATGTGTATATTTAGACACTTTCAAATATCAAAGGTTTTTCATATTTCCATATTGCTTGTGGTCACAGCAGCTGGACTTTTTCCTTTCGATTTCTTTTTACAAAATGGTGTACAATAATGTTTGGATCAAAGTCAACAGTTTAGGATGGAAGCTAAACATAACTAATATTTCATGTGATATTGAAGTAGCCTCCATGCTGTTTGTAAGACATTTTCCTGATGATGTTATCTTAAAAAAAATCTTTGATCCATTGTAGCAATAGTGATTTGCCCTTATTTTTATTTCCTCTTTTTTCTTCTGTCTTGTATTCTAATGGTGAAGTAATATTTTCAGGTTTGAGATGAAAAAATATAAAGAGAAGAAAGCATCTCATGACAAGTGCCTTCAGTTTCATGCTACCTTTTGGTCCATGTTATCGCCGAACTTTTCTTGCCTTGCTTATTGCCCAGGGTTGGAAAGTTGAGACTGAGGGCTATTCCCCTGGGTTGTGTGCTCCTGGCCTCAAACTAAATTCAGCCAAAGGTCCTGGTGGGAGGATGGCAAGGCTGGCACATCCAGCCTTCGTCCTCTCAATACTAATTGGATACTACTTCTTGCTGCAGTTATCTGTACTTAGGATGCCAGACAGGTGGCATCTCTTTAAGGCTCCAGCTCCCATTAGGTTCAGATAACACTTATTTCTTGTCCTTGCCCTCCACAGTCAAGGTGGTGTTGGATCTCTCCCTTGTCCTTAGTCATTGGAGCGATTCAGGGTTCTTTATTGAATCCCTTATCCGTATTTCACTTTGGTAAATACTTCCTTCAGAAATTCTCTTCACAACCCTAGTTGAATGCTCCATCTATTTCCAGCTGGAGCCCTGATATACACACACCTTCCCTTCCTTTCTCTTTTTGACTACAGGTATGAGGTAGTGGGGGAAAACACTAGCTTCAAATTGATAAATGTGAATTTTAGTCCTTATTCCCTGACTTGACAAGGTAGTGACCAAGGGCAAGTGTAAAGCACACTCACAGTTCACTGACAAAGAAGACTGCATTTGTTTTGTACATTGCATTATTCTCCAGGTGGGTACAATGCCTGGAAAATAGCGGCTGTTCAGCAAATGGATGAATGGCTGGATGTGCAGATGAGCCCACTCAGTATACCTGTGCTTTATACCCTCACCTATAAAATGAGATATTCAGACTCATTAGACCAGGTGACCTCTTCTAAGGATAATGCAACATGACAGATGAGGAGGATTTGAATTACTGAGGGCATGTTGACATATTGTAACTTTTAACCTGGGGGGAAAGAGGCTCAAAGCTTGTTGGTTATAGGGCTCTGTGACCCAGGCAGCTATACTCCCTGACTAGCAAAGCATTCAATACAGGATTTATCATTCTTTCATCAAATCCTGCTGGAGTAGCCAGAGGAGGAATCTGAAGGCTGTTTACCCACTTTGCCTTAAAGATACAGGAAGGATGAATGAGACTGCTCCTTTTGAGAGAAGGTCTTCCTATTTTGCTGTTTTACAGCATCACTTAAGTATGAATTCTGGCTTTTGCAAAGGTATGTACTTTTCGAAAATAAGAGAAACCAAGCTAGAAGGAAATAATGCACCAAAGGTCATTATTGATATGCTAATTCCCACTTTAAATGCCTGCCATTCTTCCTGCCTTCCTTTCTCATTCCTAGCACTGTTTACCTGTGAAGTTCTATGAACAATCTAGCACACAGAACCTCTGTGTCTATGCTGGGTACTGGGCTAGGTACAAGCATGTTACTGTCAAGGAAGAGAGGGTCACTGCCTAAAGTCACTCCTGCTGCAGGGGACACCCTCGCACTCTGTACTTGGAGACTCAACTAAAGATATCTATCCCTCAGTGGTGACCATTGCCCTAGGATCTTACAAAACTTGTGACTCATCCACACGTGTAGGCATGGGTGCGCATGTGCACGCACACGCACACACACACACACACACGCACACACACACACACACGCACACACACACACACTCCTTCATATCTATATGTCTTTCAATGATTAAATTACAACTCCCATTTCTACAGCACAAATTTTCTCTTTTAAGTAATTTCAAGATCTGGCATATTGCATGCAAAACAGGTATCTAATAAATACTGGTGGCTTTCGTGAGACTTGGATAAAATGTTAAGCATTTGCCATAGTTTAAATGTATTTTCAACAGCTATAAGGTAAAATGAACTTTTCCTATTTCCATGAGGTCACTACAAATGGTGTTGTAAAAAGTTTCAAAACAAAACAAAGCAAAAAACAAAATATAGACCTATTTTACCTCTACGGGAGACACATGACTGTGGCAAAGTACAAGCAGGTACTTGGGGAAAACCTTCTATAAATGATGGTAGAACAACCTGGCTCTCGTCACTCTACATGTCAAATGCACAAGATAAAAAATTTCACATTAAAAATCCAATGCAAATATGTCATTGCATCTCTTTTTATTTAAAATAAACAAAACACAAAAAGCAAACACCCGGTCATTTATTAATTCAGATAGTTGTATTATAGGAAAGCAAATAGCTTTGAGTTGGCTTCAATTATTCTAGAGCTCCATCTAGTGAAAAATATCTAATTTATGAGTACTATTTTTTAAAATAAACTCAGGTACATGAAAATAAAAATTAATATATTGGGGGGCAGTGTAGTCATGGAGATGGGAGGGCAGGGATGGTAAGGGGAAAGTAAAGGAGGAGGCAACAATGCTTGATAAGAAATGTACTCATTACCTTGCTCATGTATTTGTAACCCCTCTTTACAGTATTTTCACAATAAAAACATATTAATAAAAATAATTTCTTAGCTTATTATAGGGAAATGTAGATTTCTTTTTTTAAATTAAATTTAATTTTATTTGTGAACATACTGCACAGAGGGGTTACAATTACATGGGCAGTATAATGCATACATTTCTTACCAAGCATTGCAGCCTCCTCCTTTGTTTACCCTTCACATCCCTTCCCAGCTTCCCCCCTCCCTATCCCAATCCCAATCCCAATCCTTCCCCCCCCCCCCCCCCACACCGACATTGTAAAGCTCCTTTTGGACATGACAACTTGTACTTCTCATTGTTGCAACAGGTCCACCTGTATCCTTAAACGACTTGTTTTTCCCCATCTCCTCCACAAGTTATACTGACATCAAATATAGTGAAAGCAGGGGTTATACTGTGGGGGAGGGACATACAAAGCAACAAGGAAGTAATCTTATAAATGCTTTAGAAACACATGCATGAAAGAAAAAAAACATTAAAATACATATCTAAGGGTTCATTCTCTTAACATCACATTATCTGACCTTTTCCGCTTGACTCACACATATACTAGATATTGCAAATAAGGGAAACCATGGGACCTATGTTTCTTTGGGCCTGGCTTACTTCACTTAATATAATTTTTTCCAAGTTTTTCCATTTCCTAACAAATGGGACAATGTCATTCTTTCTGATGGAGGCATAGAATTCCATTGTGTATATATACCACATTTTCTTGATCCATTCATCTGCTGAGGGGCATCTGGGTTGGTTCCATATCTTAGCTATGGTAAATAAGGCTGCAATAAACATAGTTGTGCTGGTAGCTTTAGTGTGGTCTTGTTTGTAAACATTTGGGTAAATGCCCAAAAGTGGGATTGCTGGGTCATAGGGGAGCTCTATGTGGAGTCATTTGAGGAACCTCCATACTGCTTTCCAAAGTGGTTGAACAAGTTTACATTCCCACCAACAATGAAGTAAGGTTCCCTTCTGTCCACATCCCCTCCAGCATCTGTTGTTGTTAGAGTTCTTGATTTTTGCCATTCTAACTGGGGTGAGGTGGTATCTCAATGTTGTTTTGATTTGCATTTCTTTTATGGCTAGGAGGTTGAGCATTTCTTCATGTGTCTATTGGCCATCCTTCTTTCTTCTTCAGAGAAGTTTCTCTTTAAGTCTTTTGCCCACTTATTTATTGGGCAGTTGTTTCTTTGAGGATTTGTTGTTGGGGGATTTAATTTTTTGAGTTCCAAGTATATTTTAGATATGAGACCCTTGTCTGTTGTGTGGCTAGTGAAGATCTTCTCCCAATCCGTGGGCTTTCTATTGATTTTGCTAGCTATGTCCTTTGCCATGCAGAAGCTCTGCAACTTTATGCAATCCCGGAAATGTAGATTTCTTTACAACAGAAAGTCATCAAGTTGGAAATAAAATATTCTTTGATAAATTCCTACTTTTCAGTTTTTCTGCTTGTCCCAAAGTGCCAGCTTTGCTGAATGTGGTTTTTTACTACAGCCCAAAGAGATTGCTGGTTTCTGAGTCTACATGGCTTTCAGAGGTGATAGCAAATTGGAAAGATATTTCCAATTTACACAGATGTTCCAGTTACATACAAGTACAAGTCACTGAATGCTTACCTGAATAACAGCCTCCCTTTCTTCATCTGATAGTCTTTTCATAGCTGCCTTCCTAAGGTTCTCCTGGATATAATTATCATACTCTTCTTGGGCTTTCTTTACTTCCTCATTTCGTTTACTTATGTATTCCGGTATAATGCCATAATCCTGAAAGGATATTCCAGAAAAAATATCCTGATTATACTCTTACATATATGTACCTAGCAATTAATGATTGCTGAAAATTTTTACAGACTTTTAGACTTTGTTCAAAACAGCGAAAATTAACAAAAGTTAGTAATTCTCTCACTCCTAGTGAAGAGGAGTTGATTTTGTTTTTTTAAAACTGAATCATTACAGTGGTCATCTGTTTTCTTCTTGAGAATATCTCCAGTGCCTGTGCTTGGCTCATGACCAGACCCTTACTATACTCCAGGCCCTTACTATACTCCTAAGACTTAGCTTTTCTTTTCCATATATTATGTGATTCAGCTTTTACCTTGAAATCTTCCGAATATCTCTGATTCCTCCTAGTCTTGTTAGACAAAAGAAGATAAATGTATTCAAGGACATGGATATCTATCTATCTATGATAGATAGATAGATAGATAGATAGATAGATAGATAGATAGATAGATAGATAGATAGATAGATATCCTTAAATGATACCAAGCATGTCAATCTGAAGGGAAAATGGTTCTGGGATCCTGAGATTGTTTCTGGTATTCATAGAAATTATTCACAAATACTCTGGTTGTTCTCCTTCTGGGTACTTGGAGGGACAATGCTTTCCTGCTCCTCTTGAAGAAGGATGCAGCGAGGTGACCTGATTTGCTCGTGTGAATGCAAGAACCACTTCTGAAAGTCCTAAGAACTGGTGAATGACTTGCTGTATTTCTCTTCTATCTGGCCTAATGACAAGCAATGTTTTGGGGTTTTGTTAATCCTGGGTATCTGGTGCCATTTTCATCTCATCAAAAATTAGTATATTTTGGAGAATGGTTGTTATTAAACTAATAATAATTGAAACTGAGGAAAACTATGATTATGTCCATTTCCTGAACTCTACACTATTGTTCTTTACAAGTTCTCTGTCATTGTATACAAGACTTGGACCAAATATAGAATGCAGAGAAACAGAGTGGGCATTCTAGATCTTTTGTCCAGTGAGAGCATATTGATGATTATACAAACAGTTACTGAGAACATCATATCTAAACTACTCAAATTTCAGGTCACTTGTTAATGTAAGCTACCTTTTTATTGATGTACTTTGGAAGTAAACCTGAAGTTTCCAGGTCATGCCTGTCTCCAGTTCTTCGGTCAACATAAATTGGCTTAGGCTTTTTAGCCACACCCACGATGACATCAGCTGCATTTGTGTTTATAAAGTTTTTTTCGCTCTGTATTCCCATGACTGGGTGATCAGTTCTCAAGGGCACAGCAGGCTTTCTTGATTCAGTCCAACTAAACTTCTTTTCTGTTAAATATAACATTTTTTCAGTAACAAACATTACTGTTCAGTACTACTGGCAATATCCAGATATTTACCATCGGTATTTGTGTTGTATTAGTAATATATGTAAATACTTTAAGGCAAAAAAATTATGCCAATTCTATATTTATTGAGATGTATTCATTATATATGTTCAGCTTTTTATAATCATATCTCAGAATAGTAGCTTAAAAAGAAAAAAGCAATCCAAATGAAATAAACATTTAAGTATCATGTAATACATTAATTTGCTGAAAACAATAAAAAAACTCTAAGAGGGCTAAACATCATAAATTATGTGTTAGTTCAGGAGATTTTTTACTGGATATTATGGTTTTTTTGTTGGTTGAACTCTGGGCCTGGGCACTGTCACTCAGCTATTCAGCTCAAGGCTAGCGCTCTACCACTTGAGCCACAGCGCCATTTCCCGTTTTCTGGTGGTTTATTGGAGATAAGAGTCTCACAAGGAATTTCCTGCCCGGGCTGGCTTTGGACCTCGATCCTCAGATCTTAGCCTCCTGAGTAGCTAGGATTACAGGCGTGAGCCACTGGCACCCGGCTTTACTGGATATTATGGAAATTGTTTCTTACAGAAAAGTACAACAATAAATGTTTAGCTTTCCTGGTTAAGTTTATATAAGAACACTAAAACATTTTTTAGTGTTTTACTTTTACTATTTATAGTACTATTAATGTTACCAATAATTTCTTCTTCAGGGGAAAATTCCTATAAAGCCACCAAACAAACAAATTATACTTCAATCATACTTAAAGAATCCATGGAAATGGCTTATGCCTATAATCCTAGCTACTCAGGAAGCTAAGATCTGAGAATCCTGATGCAAACCCAGTTAAACAAATTGAAAAGACTCTTATCTCCAACTAACCAGCATACAGCCAGAAAGGAGATGTGGTAGAGTGCCAGCCTTGGGCAGAAAAGCCAAGGTTGAGCATGAAGTCAAGTTCAAGACCCAATACTGGAACAAAATGTCTAGAAGGAGGGGTTATAACTTTCCTCTCCTTTTTACTGTCTTCTGTACTTGTATTATCTTCTAGTCATGCCAATTTCATTTCCTATAAGGTAAAGATATCACCTGTGAATATTTAATATTCATTGATAATGACAAATTCTAATTAAATCATCTACTAATTCTTTCCACAGTAGGCAGAAAGAGCAGCTGAGTACTAGTTACTTAGGAGGCTGAGATCTAAGGATCATGGTTTGAAGCCAGCCAGGACAGGAAAACCTGTCCTGTGACACTTTTGTCTCTAATAAACTATCCCCTAAAATGTGGGAAGTGGAGCTGTGGCTCAAGTGGTGGAGAACTAGCTTGATCAAAAAAAAAAAAAAAACTCTGGGACAGCACCTAGGTTCTGAGTTCAAGCTCCAGGACTGGCATTAAAAGGAGGAGGAGGAGGAAAAGGAAGAAGCAGAGGAGGAGAGGAGGCAGAGAGAGAGAGAGAGAGAGAGAGAGAGAGAGAGAGAGAGAGAGGCAGAGCAGGAGGAGGAGGAAGAGGAGGACAACGACGACGACGAGGAGGAGGAGGAGGAGGAGGAAGAGGAGGAGGAATAAACCTACTAGGTGGTAGAGGTTTGTCAGTTGAATGTTTCCTTAGGAAATTCTTTGGAGAAGGCACTTGAAGTCTGGCTGGTCCCATAGTTTTCATTGTAGCTTTAAATTTATTCATGTCATCTTGTATGATTTCCTTAAAAACTGATTTGTACCTGAAATTAAATTTAAAAAATTGTAACCTTTACATTTCTAGTAAAAAATAAAGTTTAAAAGTCATACATGAATATATATGTACACACATATATTCATACAAGAAGAATGAATGGCCATAAAGCATAATGATATGAGCCCCAGGTTTATAAATCTAGATGGATGTTCTGGGCAACAAGGAGGCGCCAGAGCAAAGGTGGGCATTATGCTTTTCATTCTCTCCAGGAGCATGGATTGTGATGTGATCTCTCCCAGCCCTGATATTAGTCATTTGTGTCTTCTTCCCTTTTCCATCCATGTCTCCCCCATCTTGCTAGTTAAAAGTTTATTGATTTTATTTAAAAAACAGAATTGCATTGATTTTCTCTAATGATCACATATTTTCCATTTCAAAGATCTTTATTTTTTAATATGTATTTTTATTGTAAACATACTGTACAGAGAGGTTACAGTTACATGAGCAAGGTAATGAGTACATGTCCTGTAGAGCATTGTTACCCTCTCCTTTGATTTTCTCCTACCATCCCTTTCCTCCCCCACCTCCCTAACTCTTCCCTCCCACCCCACCCCCGCCCCAATTTGTAAAGTTAGTTTTCAACATAGTGTCTTGTACATCTCATTGTTACAATGGGTCATCCTGTATCCTTATTTCAGCATTTTGTTATTTCTCTTCCCCTCCCCAAATTAGAAAAATTTATACAAGCTACAGGACACTGGAATAAAATACAGTGACAACAGGGTTTATACCATGGGGGAAGAACATACAAAGAACAAAAAAAAATCACATAGTACATTATAAATACATTAACAAGAACAGAAAGAAAGATAAAATATCATGTCCCTATCTTGGGGTTCATTTCTCTTAGCATCATCTTATATAATCTTTTTTTAATTTAATTTAATTTTATTTGTGAACATACTGTACAGAGGAGTTACAATTACATGGGCAGGATAATGCGTACATTTCTTACCAAGCATTGCAGCCTCCTCCTTTGTTTACCCTTCACATCCCTTCCCAGCCTCCCCCCTCCCCATCTTATATAATCTTATATGGTCATATGTACATAGTTTTTGACCTCTTCTGCTTGTCCTAGACATATACTAGTTATTGCAGATAAGGAAAACCATGGAACCTATGTTTCTTTGGGTCTGGCTTACTTCACTTACTATAATTTTTTCCAAGTCTTTCCATTTCCTAACAAATGGGGCAGTGTCATTATTTTTTGATGGAGGCATAGAATTCCATTGTAGAGAAAACACATTTTCTTGATCCATTCATCTACTGAGGGGCATCTGGGTTGGTTCCATATCTTAGCTATGATGAATAATGCTGCAATAAACATAGTTGTGCTGGTAGCTTTAAGACCTCAAAGTCAAAGCAGACACCTTGAAAACATTACAGGAAGGAATAGGAGAAACTCTAGGGCTTCTTGGCACACACCAAAATTTTATTAATAAAGACCCAGAAACACAACAAATCAAAGAAAGATTGGACAAATGGGATTGCATGAAACTGCAGAGCTTCTGCATGGCAAAGGACATAGCTAATAAGATTAATAGAAAGCCCACGGATTGGGAGAAGATCTTGACTAGCTATACAACAGACAAGGGCCTCATATCTAAAATATACTTAGAACTCAAAAAATTAAATTCTCCAAAAACAAATTCTCAAAGAAACAAGCACCCCATCAACAGGTGGGCCAAAGACTTAAAGAGAGACTTCTCTGAAGAGGAAATAAGGATGGCCAATAGAACATGAAGACATGCTCAACCTCCCTAGCCATAAAAGAAATGCCAATCAAAACAACATTGAGATTTCACCTCACCCAAGTTAGAATGGCTATAATCAAGAACTCCAATAACAACAGATGCTGGAGGGGATGTGGACAGAAGGGAACCTTACGGCATTGTTGATGGGAGTGTAAACTTGTTCAACCACTTTGGAAAGCAGTATGGAGGTTCCTGAAAAGACTACATATAGAGAGCTTCCCTATGACCCAGCAATGCCACTTTTAGGTAGTTACCCAAATGATCAGAAACAAGATCAAAGATCTTTATTGGTGATATTTATTAGTGGTTCGCCTTATTTGGGGTTTATTTTGGCTTCCCTTTTAAAAAATTCTTAAAGTTAAATCACAGATACTTAATTATAAACCTTTATACTTTTCAAATATGGTGCTTAAAGTTTTGCTATTCCCTCTAATCATGGCTTTAGCTACATTCCACAAATTTTGATCTCCAGTGTTTCATTTTCATTCAGTCTTAATACCTTCTATACTTATTTTTTATATCTTCTTTAAGTTAGAAGGTAGATTTAATTATGGTTGCTTCATTTTCATATATTTGGAGTTCCCAGATCTCAGCCTCGTAAGTGGCTAAGATTTTTGGCACATTGTAAATGTTAGTATGTTGAAATCAGTAATATTAATAATATTTACTTATAATTATTAATGGATATTCATCTTGATCAACACTAAAAAATAAAACTATTTAATCCTTTATTTTACTTATACTCAAGAAAACACAGGCTCTCTGAAAATTGGAGTCATGGTCTAAATGATTAATATAATATCCACACAGACAGACTGACACACTACCTGGCTTCCAAAAACAACCTTGCATATCGCAATATCCTCTATTTTTTGCTTAAGATATAAAACCTTGTTCTGTAGTTGAATAACCTAAAAAAATGTTCACTTACCTACAAATTTTCCTGGCATATTTTCTTCTCTGAACATTTTAAAATATATGTGACAAATTGGTGTAGTAATCCCTCTTACTACATGTTAGATTGTCTATCAAAATTAAAGAGAGGGTCCTTTGCTCAAATAAACAAATATTATTAAGCCAAATGCAGTATTCATTGCCAAGAAACACAGTGATTGCTTTCCCTTCATCCGTATATGTGACAGTGAAAATCACCTTTTTGAAAGATTCCTTCCAATGCATAATTTTCCCTACCTTCAATTCTTCCACATGACTCAAGTCATTCTATTAGTTTATTACATATGGTCAACTGTGCAACTGCAACCATGCTTTTGAGTCTTCTGTATAAACTGTGTGGTCTAAGTCAAAGTGTGTGAAAGTGTGTGTGTGTGTGTATGTGTGTGTGTATATGATACTCATGAGAAGAGTAACACAAGAAATGAAGAATCATACTTTCAAACACTAGTCATAAAACCCTGTCTCTGAGACCATGTATATCAGTAGTGATAATTTTAATATAAAACACAGATTTGGCACTATTTTTGATTTTCTCTGAATAGAAGTTTTTGAAGAAGTTTCTGCTTTCTGTGATTGAATTCTTGCCTATAAGTAGTCAGCAAATTAAAAAAAGGCAAGAACCTCAGGATAAAAATGACTAGGTCATCTAAGAATTTATGACAGTTAAGACATAGATTGCTCAACAGAGTCCAGACTTAACACAAGGAAACGTCGTAAAAACTTCAGTTTACAGAAATAATAGTTTAGACAGTAAATAAATGGAAAGTTGTCTAGAAAGAACATGAAGAATACACCCAAGTAAAATTCTGTACTGCATGCTATAACTAATCACAATGAAAAACAGAGAGACATTTAAAACAAACCAATAGAGCTTATGGCATTTTCCAAAAGTGGTAGGCCTGATGTCAGTGTCTACAGAGTTATAGAAAGGGGCCTAATTAAGTTTATGGACTAGAAATGACTGTAAGGCCTATATGAAGTTTCAGATCATGACAGATGAATATCAATTTTAAAAATAAGATTATTAGACTCACAAAGTGAGAAGATATTTTAGGCAAAAATCATTTTTATCTTGATGCTAGCAAAGCCTCTTATTAAATCCTTGCAGATGAGGCAGAGAAATATGAGATGATTAATAGGTTTATGTGGATAATTAAAGACACAGAAAGTACTGTCAGCCTTGAGAGAGGTGTCTAGTAGCCCACTGAAGTGCAAAGTACTTGCCTTGTTCAATGACAGATGGAGATATAAATGCAAATTAGATTTACAAATGACACAAAGTTGAAAAGAATGATTAATAGAGTGTAGACATGATTCATAATTCAAAGCTATCTCCATAAATTAATGATGAGTTGAAATTAACAAAAGGAATCAGCAATATAATGAGAGGATAGGAGAGATAACCTTGGAACCTAAGATTCTTGCAACACATGCAAGAATCCTTGCATGTATCAAATGAAATCTTAGGCAATTTAGATGAAAGTATTGATCCGAATATTAAACAAAGGAGATTGTGGTTTCATGGACTATTTGAGATATCTACAATTCTGTCTTAAACAACAAAGGAAAAAGAAATGATTGGAGATATTAAATAATGACAACCATCGACAGAATGATGAGCTCGGTGGCAACAAAATTCTCATTAAATAACCGAATCCCCATTGAGTTTTTAATAATATAATTCTTTGTGGCTAATCCACATTTTAATGTCTACATTGCAGTTCAACAAGAAGACTGTAAACTCTGGGGCATGGAAGATCAGAGTGCTGTCAGTGGTCAAAATCTTACCAGTGTTGCAAAACTCTGGGGAGCTTCTTTGAAATTGAATTTATAGCTCAGTGATATAAAATGTACCTGTACCTTTAAACATTAAACATTTCTTACTTATAATTAAGTCTTCCTATTATTGAGAGACTGAGTCAGGACAATTTTGTATTATTGTGATGAGAGAGTGGTGAGAGAGAAATGGTTAAGTCTCTCTCTCTCTCTCTCTGTTTTCATACATATCTTGTCAAAAACTCTAACCATTGTGGTTGATAGGTTAAACTGATATCACTCTGACCAAAAAAGTTCTCTGTAAACCTTTCTGTCTCATCTCATCCTAAGTCATTTTTCTACTTTCTTTTCTACTTTATTCAGAATAAAAACAAAGAGTTCATGCAACTACTTCTGCATCTCCAAGAACTTAAACACCATGTCAATATTATACACACAGTAGGAACTGTATTTGTGCATGCCAAATGAATAAATATTATTCTTATATTTTTGAAAAAAGCACACAAAAAGCTTTTTTAACTTACCAATGATAAAATGCCCATTTAATAATCTCCTAACTTTAAATTCAGCATTCAATTGAAAAGTGTAACATGGAGAGGAGGATTTTATTTTATATAGTGTTTGTCCTGTATACAGGAATTTTGGATCACAAGTCCAAACAGTTTACCAGTAAAGAATATGAACAATCACAAACTGTGCAAATGTACCATAGTTATTTACATTCCCCATTCCAACATCTAGTAGATACTGAAAAGCTAATGGAAATATAATGGTAAGTATTGCTCTGATTAAAACAAGATAGTCACTTAGACTTAAAATGGAAAGAGTTGTCATTTTTGTTTTTATTACACCATGTAATTAATTATTAACAAAAATAACTGGTTGATAGATTTGAAAGAAACCTTAGGCATTGTCTATTCCACTAAATTTCTTTTACATATCTGAAAGCAAGTGAAATTTTATTGAAGACCTCTAAAACAACTAGTTGTAGAGCCTTTAGCCCAGTGGTCTTTTAGAGTAATCTTGATCTACATAAAGAAAAGTTAAAGGGAAACTTTGGAAGTCCTGGGAGGAAAGACAATTTTATCCAGTGGTTACTGTTTGTTCTCCCTATAATATATAAATAATTCTAAGTATCACCTACACAAGATAGCTTACTTTGTAGTTACCTAATATTTTGAGAATATTAGATGTCTTATAAAAAGTAGGTGAAAAATTTAACTCAGTCACAACCAGTCTCCTTTTCATTCAGCCATTGGATCTGAAAGAGCCCTTAAAAAACTATCTAATAAGCAATAGACACGCTGGTGCTTAGAAACAAGTGAGAATTTGTGTTTGAGAATAATTTTTGGAGAGAGGAGTGCTATGCTTGCAGAATGGCAAGTTAGAAATGTGACACAGAAGCCGGGCGTCGGTGGCTCACGCCTGTAATCCTAGCTACTTGGAAGGCTGAGATCTGAGGATTGCGGTTCAAAGTCAGCTCTGGCATGAAAGTCCGTGAAACTCTTATCTCCCCCCAGAAAAATGGGAGTGGCGCTGTAGCTCAAGTGGTAGAGTGCTAGCCTTGAAGAGGCTTAGGCCAAGAGTTCAAGCCCCATGACGGACAAAAGAAAGAAAGAGATGCACTATGGAGCTCCCCAAAAGAAAAACATCAAGAATCCTACTTGATAAAAGGATGGCAAAGTGGTTTTCTTTTCAACAGTACCACGACGTTTCACCCTACATTGTATGCCACACTACATACCACTAGATGCATTACAAAATAGTTACAATAAATTACAAAATAATCGAGAAATGCTAATCACCTAGGGTTGCTCATCTCTTCTGTAAAAAGCTGTCCAAGTTTAGTTTATTGAGACAAAAAAGTATATTTTAAACCAGTTTTTAAACTTCTCTGATGTGTCTGTTCAGTTTATCCTGAAATGGAACAATTAATTCCCCATTCTTGTTTTAAGCGGTCAATTTGGCTTACATACCTAGGACGCGGGGGCGGCTCCTTCTCCTTACTGGGTATGAGGTTATAAATGCTCTCAGAAGGGCACCTTGGATGGTCCATGGTCAACAAATGGACGAAACACCACTACCCTCAGCTTTCCTTACTATACTAGTATCTCCCCCTTCCTCTTACTGCTTTGCAGAAGACCTCCCTTTCTAATCAACCCTCTCTAGCGAAGAAAATACAGGGTCAGTTCCTTCCGGGACTGCCTGGCCTTGTTGATGGCGTGGTTGCTGTGGAAACAGTTACTAGGCAACGGAGCAGTGGAAGCCAGCCTAGCAAACCAGGTTTCTTCTTCTTGTTTTTGTTGTTGTTGTTTTTTTTTTAACATCTTCTTCTGCCTCTGTGATTTTATGAAAAACAAAAAGAACACAATATCCCCGAATCCATTTTGCTTTTTTCAGTGTATTTGGGAAGAACGAACGGAAAAAAAATTGGACTACAAGCAGCAGCGCGGTTGGTGCGCAGGCGTCACACTAGAAGACTCTAGTGCGCACGCCCCAATGCCGAGAGGGGCGGAGCGAGCGGTAGGACCGCGCGGACGCAGAGCCCAAGCCCAGGCCTAGGGGCGGAGCTCGGGAGAGTCACGTGCCCGGGGCGTGGACGCGGAGCGCGGACGCGCAGGTCAGCGCAGGCGCAGAGGCCGCGGCGCGGGGGCTTAGTGGGCGGGCCGGGGTGAGAGCTTGGGCTCCCTGGGCTCAGTCTACCGAGGCGGCACTGGTGGTTTCTGGACACTTGGTGCCATTTCCTTTCCTTTGCCCGTCTTCTCAGTGTGCTTTTCTTGGTGAGTTATTGGAGGACGAAGAAAGGAAAAAGCAGAGGCCCGTCTGTGTCCATCGCATGCCGCCCCCTCCCCGTCGCCCTTTCCTTCCGCTCCTTGGTTGTAATGTCATTTGTCTCGCTGTTTCCCGCCCGGTCCCCGCAGGCCCCCGTAGCCCGTGGTGACCGCTGTCCCATGAGCGCCCGCGCCCTCCCGGCCCGCAGGTGGCGGCTCTGTCACCTGTGCCCGCGTCCCCTCCCCCCCCCCCCGCACCTGTGGAGGAGCGGCCCTGAAATGGGCCCTTCTACTCATGCTTTGGGGCCCTTATTATTATTACTATTATTAATAATTGTGATTATTTTATATGTTATTATTGTTATGACATTTCTCTTTCCGAAAAGCACTTTGATTCCCCTTTGGGCTGGGCTTCCGTTAGTGGTGTTCTGGCTGCTGAAGTTGTCACATCCTTTACTCCAGTCTCAAAAAAGACATTTGGGTTATATGGTTTGGAAAGAAAATAAGCGGTTCTGGATCCAGCCCTACAGAGAGGCCTCAGGGGAATGAAGCTCTTCATACCTAAGGGACAGTAACCACATTTGGGGGTGCCTGGGGGAGGGACGAAGTGCCATGAAGGTTGGATCAACTTTTGGAGCCGATCCAGGTAGCTATCCAAAATGTGTTTTGAGAGCTCTTACAGAATTTCATTAGATAATAATTTTAACTTTGTATCACCCAGTTTGATCAAGTGTTACTTTTTTCTCCAGGCACTTACCAAACATTTCAGATGGTTGACCTTTTGGGAGGGAGTGTGATTTTTCTGAACGTTTACAACTGAGTTTCTGTCGTCTAAAACATTTTAGATTTATATGTAGACTAGGTCTGTCTATACCTCTTTGTCCCTACCTTTTCACTTTGAGTATTTTACTTTTATTCATTTATTTCTTAGCATATATAGAGGAAATTCCCTTGGTACCCCCCTGTTCCTGCCTATTCTGAAATTTGAACCAAAGACTCATAGAATGATAACCTCATTGGCTTTAAAATGCCAAGGTTTACATATCTTTTCAGTGCTGAGATTCAAATCAAAGACCCCCAAAATCACTATGCAAATGCTGTACCACTAAGCAGTATCCCAGCCCTAAGGCTTGTAAGTGTTCTATTGAAGGAACCCTTAGGACTATGCATAACTCAGTTCCTGAAAGAGCCAGTAACTAAAGCATGATTATCTCTAGTTAGCTTCAATTGGCTGCTGCTAGCCTTGTCGTCCTGAAACAAAATAATTTCATCGATGTTTTTATTTTCATTGGGCTTCAAAAAGATACTAGACAAATTTTCTTAATACCACCTCACTGTAGTATGTGAATTTACAATCATGATGAGGCTGTTAGGTCATTGAGAAAGGAACATTTTTTTTTTTAGAGAGTTGAAACTATGTTTAAACAGTTTCTAAGTTTTATAATTCTCTTGAAATGGTAGGAGTGCTCAAAAAATACCTAAGTCCCACAACACATCCACAGGGAATTAGTGTTGCTATATTGCTTTATGGATCAAAAGGTATAAAAGATAAGAATACATATTTTAGCCTCTTCAGACCAGGTAGTTTCTGGAAATTGCACAGGTCTGACATTGTAGTTCAAAAGCAGCCACAAATAATACTATAGTAAACAGATGAATGAAAAAGAGATGAGCAAAGTGGTGTGTCACTGAGACAATTTACACAAATAGTGATGACAGGTTTGGCCTGTAGATTGTGGTTTGTTTGCACAGATCCTTAGTATAAATGGTATGTAGTGTGTTATACAGAAGCAAATTTGGCTTTTGGCCAAAGACAACTAAAAGGAAAATATAGGTGTGTGTGTGTGTGTGTGTGTGTGTGTATGAGAGAGAGAGAGAGAGAGAGATATGGGATTATAGTATTGGTATTTGGACTCAGGGCTTCATGTTGGCAGATGTTCTACCACTTGAACCATGTCTTCAGCAGGCAGGCCTCTAAAATATTTGAAGTTGCAGCACTGGGAATGGTGCTTAAAAGTCTTCAGTTAAATACTTGAGAGCATTAGGATATTTAACAACAGACCCCCCCCCCCAATAGCAAGAATAGCTTAGTTTCTGATGAAGATAAGTGAATGATGAACTTGTGTAATGATGCTGTTGGTTATAAGTCCTTGGATTAGAGCATAGCTTTATAAAGCATGATCTGGTCTATTTCCTGGGAAGTGGGTAAGTAACTGAAGGTCTTGTAGAGAGGATTTGGAGTCAGTTGTCCAAAGCAGCATAGCCTGTCTCACTCTTGGCTAATTAATGGCCTGATGTTTTTGCAGGTTTTTTGTTTTTTGTTTTTGTTTTTGTTTTTTTGGTCAGTTGTGGGGCTTGAACTCTGGGCTTGGGCGCTGTCCCTGCGCTCTTCAGCTCAAGGTGAACACTCTACCACTTGAGTCACAGCGCCACTTCTGGTTTTTAAGAGTCTCATGGACTTTCCTGCCTGGGCTGGTTTTGAACTGCAATCCTCAGATCTCAGCCTCCTGAGTAGCTAGGATTACAGGCATGAGCCACCAAAGCCCAGTTTTTTTTTTTTTTTTTGCAATTTTTAACTTTCTGAAAAGTAATTTATTGATATAAAATTACAGAAATTTTAAATATGTTTTTAAGCCTCAGTGGCTTTCTTTAATAAGGCGCTAGATCTAGACACTTTTCATAGAAATTCATAGACTGTACTAATATCAGGTGATGAGCCCAATTATGGCATAGTATTTCTGAAAATACATTGATTTATAGCTAGTTCTCATCATTAAAAAAAAAGCAACACTACAGGGCTTTATTCATTCTAGAAAAGTGTGATTCCATTGAACTAGGCCTTGGTTTTTTTAAAAGACAGGATCCCATTATATACTTCAGGCTGGTCTTGAACTTGCTATTTACCCCAGGCTAGCCTTGAACTCCACAGCTTCCTGTTTTTAGCCACTGGAGTGCTGGGGTTACAGGCATGTACAGCCATGCTGAGCTCTAAGTAATTTTTGAAGTGCTCTCTTGAATTTTATTTTAGAAAGGTATATAATAGCAAACAAATACTTAAATTTATGGCAAAAGCTAAATTAGGGTTTTAAAGATTCTTCCTATTTGAAAATTAGACTATTTTTGTAGGATTGGAAAAATTATGAATTGTTTTAGAAGTAAAACTTTTTATGTGCTAGAATACAATTTTGGTTGATTATCATATAATGGTAAACCTATAAAACACAATTGCAAATAGGTTGCTAAAATTAGTATGTACTTCCTGTATAACATATCATTGTAGCCAGGGCTCATGCCTGTAATCCTAGCTTCTCAGGAGGCTTAGATCTGAGGACTGCAGTTTAAAGCCATTCTGGACAGCAAAGTTTTTGAAAGTCTATCACCAATTAACCACCATAAAAGCCAGAACTGGAGCTGTGGCTCAATAGACAGAGTGCTAGCCTTGCGTGAAAAAGCTTAGAGACAGTGTCCAGGCCCTGAGTTCAACCCCCAGAACCAGCACACAAAAACATGAAAAGTATTAGTATTTATTTCTGTATTTTATTTTCTTAAATTCTTCATTTAGTTTAATCTCTTGCCTAGAGTAAAATTGTCAAATCTGTGCCTGGGGTTATATGATAACTTGAATTGTTACATACAAATGTACATTTGTTTTATTTTTGTAAAGTTTTAGTTGTGATACTGATTTACTACCTTTTTATTGATCTATTTGGAACTCATTTGGGTTCCTCAAAAGACTTAACATAGAGCTCCCCTTTAGCCCAGCAATCCCGCTCCTGGGCATTAACCCAAATGACCACAAACAAGGCCATACTAAAGCTGCCAGCACAACCATGTTCATTGTGCCATTATTTACCATAGCTAAGATATGGAACCCTGATAGCCCTCAGTAGGTGAATGGATCAAGAAAATACACAATGGAGTCCTACGCTTCCATCAGGAAGAATGACATCATCCCATTCATAGGGAAATGGAAAGACTTGGAAAAAATCATATTAAGTAGAGTAAACCAGACCCAAAGAAACATTTCCCTCATTTGTAAAAATTAGTATATGCCTGGGATAATCCTTGCAGAGGATCACCACAGCTCAATAGCTATGTACATATGACCATATAAAATGATGATAATCTAAATGAACTCCAAGATATGGAAACAAGAAGTTTTTCTTTGTTGTTGTTATTAATGTACTATGTGAAGTTATTTCTTGTTTCTTTCATTTTCCCTCCTTTGGTTTATCCCCTGTTACCACTGTATTTCATTTTAGTATTTGTTTCTGACTTTTATTTTGATTTGTATTTGATTTTTGCAGTTTTAAACTTACTGAAAAGCAATTTATTGATGTAAAATAACAGAAATTTTAAATATGTTT